AATGGTGAGGTAACTCCGTAAGGCCTGTGAAGATCCCAGGAAGCTTCTATGCTCCTGGGCGGAGCTGGGCTGGCTGTATTAGCCACGACATACGCACAACGGCCTAAATGTGAGGTTAAGTGCGGAAAAGAGAGTCTACTTTACATTACATTACATATATATGACATAAATAATCATTGCTATTAAGATTTCAAAAATTATGAATTATGTAATTGATTTTGTTGACGATGTGTTTGAAAATATTTTTGGTTCGTTTCGTTTTTGTCGGATATATTGCGAAACCGTAAGATGATGTATACAAAGATAACTAAATATAAAACTCACTGCGACGCTCCAACCTGTAATTAAAGTTACATTTGAAAGCAACTTTATCGTCGAAAGAGACAAATTGTTCACCACTCGAAATAAAGTAAAAACTTTTCCACTGAATTTAAGCGATTTTCTGTGGAACTCCAAATTTAGTTACGTCAAACATAGTCGAGTTTTACTCGTATTTTAATAGCTACTAAACAGATACTTAGTTTTAAATTTCGTAATAATGACATTATAAATTTTTATTTCAACTTATCCTGCTGAGATAATACAAATACAAATTAGATAATAAAAAAATAGACTTATGTAAATAGACGAATAGTTATAAATTATTACTAAAAGAGAGAAGAGGTTGCCAAAATGGGGATTAGTTGCTAGCAATTCCCCATTGCTAGCAATATGGAGTATATTGCTAGTTTCTAATCCCTATTTTTTGGTCATCATCTGGCTAAAATCCTCGCGACTTTCCCTGGAAAGCATCGTGAATGATTTATTATGGAATTTGTCACGATAGGCCAATTGACGTGACTTCGTCCTCACTTTTTATCCTTCACTAGATTCCCACCAGGATATACCGATAACCCAGATAGGGTTATCATTCCATTAAAAAAATATGTCTAATTAACCACATAACTATCAGAAATTATTACATTTATTACAGAACTATAGAGGTGTTTTTATGGGTGAAAATGACATAGTAGCCCTGCCTGAACTATCAATGGTAGGGTACTAATGTGTGATGATAGGTGAGGATGAAAAGTTATTTAGCCCATGATGACGAATTCAAGTCTTTACCACTATGGTTTCCAGAGAAAACCGCGTGGCGGTCGACTTAATAGGATATATTTCTAGCAACAGGGTTGTTAAACTTCAAATGTAGGAATATAATATATATATTTCTACGAGTACTACATATTAATGTCGTTTTTTTTTGATAACTTCCAAAAGAAAGAGGTTCTCAATATGTTTGAATTATTATTGTGGCTACGTAACGAGATTGCGTGGTCAATTTAAATTTTTACAGTTCTTTTTGCAATAGATTAGGATTTCACATAATACTCCAATTTTATGACGATTGAAACTCTTGTTACTCATGTGGAGCAAACGTTTGTTTATTTGAGGCATAATGTTTTTATAGACACGTGATCATATCTTGGAATTATTTCATCGTTTACTAGTGTTTATTTGGTTCACGATAAAAGTTGATTTGTGAAGCAAAATGCAATTGTCTTATAATAAAGAAAGAACAGATTTCTTTTAAGAATAACGTAATAAGGTTTATATATATTAAATATATGGTGTATACATCACTATCAGTCGTCAACTGTCCATTAATGAACATGAGGCTCCCCCATAAGGGAGGCTTTGTCAATAATTGCCACGCTTAACAGGTGGGTTGGCAACCGCAGTTAGGCTTTGGCGATGTTTTAAGAGGGACGCTGCTGCTCATCCCTTGAGCATTAACTTACTTTAGCCATCTAGTACATATCGTCGTGTATATATAGTACATATATATTTGAGTAATTATTTATTAAATTTTGCCATAACATTTGAACAAGATTTTTAAACAAAAGCAGCTCTAATTCTGTTAGGCAAATCGTGTTAAATCTATATGGCTTCATAGGAGTTCAATGAATTGCACTAGAATTATATTACAAGGAAGGTAATGTTGCGTAATACGGATACCGATCGTTTATTCATAATTACAAGTCCAGCTTCAATTAATTATGTCATTCCCATTGAAATTTTGTCATATTATATTCTAATTTCAAGAACATTTGCGTTTTCTATATAATATTAATAATGTTTAAAATTAATAATAATTATCATGTCACTGCAAATTGTTATTGCATTTATAAAATTACACATTAGATATTATTTATATTTTAAGAATCCTTCAACACTATAGGATCCCTTCTTGAAAAGCCAGTCATTGAGTTACTTTTTAAATGAATTTAGACTGCTTGCAGTAATTACACATAATATACTATATAATATAATAATACTCTTAGCATATAACAAATATGTATGTACACTGCTTAAAGTGACAAAGTCGCCTGTTAAATTTGTGTTTGACAATTTATAGGCACCATAATGTCGCATAAATAGCATTCCCTAAAGACACCCCATAGCGGACATTCATCAAGCTGTTTAAATTACATATTGTGCCAAAAATCAAGAGACACATACATACACAATATATACAATCTAAAATATTGAAATTTTAACAAAATAATAAGGATTCTGACTTACATAAGCACAAAGAAAAATTTTTGGACTCAGAACTACCAAGAAAAAAAATTCATAATTATTAACCTTTTATAAATTTAATACAGTAGATATTGTTAAAAAAAAATAAAAAATAACTTAAATCATAACTTTGCAATTCTTTATTCAAATTTTATTATGGAGATTAGATAAAGTTGACAACAAAAGCGAAGTTCGACAAAAGTCTTTTATTAAATCCATGTTTAATAATACCCCAAAATTCTATAGTTTTCGTAGGCAACTAACATTTTCTCCCTGGAACACCGATTCCAGGAAAATAATTGACCTATAATATTGTAATTTAACTGGAAGTTACAAAACAAAAGGGACTGAAGTTCTATAAAACAAAGGTTAATAATTTATTGTTTCTAAATTAACATCAATGGTATTTACATACTAACTACATAATGCCAAGTTTTGTACCAAAGGTAATACCGATCATACCACAAAATTTGGTCAAATTTATTAATGTAAGAATTTTTTACAATAAAAGCGTAGAATAAAGGTAAAAATATGTCTAAATATATATGGCTACCTTTTAAATCTTTTAATGAAGCTCTGTAAACATGTTATTGCAGCATATTATTTCGTATATATGGAATTAAGAAGTAGGAAGATCAATAATATAAACCACTTCTGCATAGAATGTCAAGATAAAACACTCCAGGTTTTAAGTTAAACCTTCATAATAAGTTAAAATCGAATTTAATTTGGTACAATAGATTTTCTATGATGCTGAAACAAATTTCTAAAATATATTCTTTTGGCATCTAACGATATCGTTCTCATTAAAATGCGCCATATTAATTTTTCTTAATACGAGTATCTCCCATATACAGACATAATCTAGTTACAATTATATTATATAAAAATAAATAAAATAAAAATTAATTGTAAACATATTAATTGATAAAAGATTTAAATGAAATGGTTTTCTAAAAAATAGAGTACATTTCATTAGGCCATATATATAATAGTGATAAGAAAAAGAACAATATTTAATATGTTAATATGTACAAATGTTTTTCTAGTAATATCTATATGAATATATTTAAAACTAGCGATCTGATCATATACTACAAAAAATTCAGCCAATTCAAGTGATCGATTATTTTATAGAATTGTATATGTAATTCTTTAGATCGATATAATTTCTTTATTTATGAACTGATTGAAATGAAACAAACATGTTAATTTTATTTCACCCAATTCTACAATTAGCTGACATAAAGTTAACCCACTTTTGAGGCTCGATGCTCTATCTATATAATCTAAGGCCTAAACTTATTCTCTTGTTATAGTTGTTTCTAAGAGTAGATATCCCTCTCGAATTAATCAATCATGTTTTAAACCAATCGACACTAATTAAGTTTACGTTAATTAGATTAAATTATAATACCGCACGAACTCCGCCAGATGGTGGCTTGTGTACCTATTTATAAGATATCTTGTTATAAAGGAGAAAGTTTGTGAGGATGGATGGCTGTTTGTTAGTCTTTGACGCAAAAGCTACTGAAGAGATTTGAATGAAATTTGGTACATAAATAGGTAATGACTGCCATGTGGTTTCTGGGTAGAATGGGCCACCCCTTCCTTTCCTATGGCTGTCGTAAGGGGCGATTGAGGGAAGAATGGTTGAGCGATGGGCACCAGAGTCCCTTTTAAAACATTGTCAAAACCCTCAATAGCGAGAGGCGTTTGTTTAGCAGTGAACAGTTAACGGCTTATTTAATCATGGTGATATAATGATACACCCGAGCGAATGCGTGAGATACAGCTAGTTCTCTATAGAATGTTTATATGTGTAATAATATAATACATTATTGTGCTTTTATATCCATACGAGAAGTACGAATTAGTAAAATATAGTTCAAAACATTGTTACCAATGTCTCTTCATATTATTGGTATCAACCAACAGTATATATGTAGAATATTAAAGTATGTAGATATCAAACGTTCATCAGATACCGTTGCAGTATATCACGATGACGGCTGATTCACAATTTATTCTAATTATTTAATATTTATTTTTAAAATATTATATATTGGCGATTCGGCCCGGTTTCGCACGGCTGTATAACTCGCTATATTGCTCGTTGACAATGTAGCTTTCTATATATTGAAGAATTAAAAAAAAATCACATAAGTAGTTTTCAAACATTCGAATTTTTCCTTTTTTTAGTTATTTGTCGCGGCATTGCCTGAATGCTAATTGTATGCTTATATACTATAATACTAAGTTAGCAAGTAATGCCAAGTTAGGATATAATCTTTCCGTGTACAATTTTTATACCTATTTGTCCAGTTGTTTAAATGTAATTGAGTAACATCCAACCTTCACATTCATAGTATTAGTAGGATAGGAAAAAAAAATTATTTACTGATTCTTTGCACTAATTATTTTCTGTTTCTTTACAGGAAAACACCAGAGGCAGATTGGCTAGGCAGTCAATCAAATAATGAGTACTAATGTTTAGACGGAGCTATAAGGCCCGTTGCATCCGTGTCCTCAAATCCAGGGCGTGGAAGCGCGTGCCCATGAAGCTTTTAAAGTGGAACAGAAAAATGCCTTCCACCAAACAATACAACTTGGTTCCGAACGACGAGTACGATACAAGAATTCCGCTACATCCAGACGAGGCTTTCCACTATGGGATTACATTTCAAGCTAAGGTATGTTACAATAAATTTATTTGCATCCACTACGAAATAAATGTAGTCCTCTTTTATTGATAATATTATTTTGATTTCATTACTAAAATATGCGGTCTTGAGCCACATGCATTTCTTGATTTCTTGCAATTATCTTAATTCGATTTTAAAGTAGTATCTTCATATACGTATATATAGATACATATAATTTAAGTATTAGGAATGGGAGGTATTTTACAAAAGATATCAAAATATTAAATCTATATATTGACAGTACAAAAATTCTTTCTATTCTATTTTTATCTACACAGATAGGGCCGTCAGCTGGTTTGCCATTCTAAGTTGCATAAAAAAAAGATTATCATGTATAAAAGTTCTAAGTACCGAAGTTATATTTCTATGAAAGGTATAAAATTAATAAAAAAAAAATTAAGCATTAAATATTAACCAAATGTAACAAGATCAGAAGTCTTGAACAATAATACTATATTAATTAGTACATAGAATTATTTTTCAATAAGATTTTCAACAAGATATTTAGGGTCCTATATATAACTTCATCGTAAAAATTAGAGCAAATAATATTAGAAATTATCAACCTTTCACGAAATATATAATCTATTCTGAAACTAACCAAGGTTAGTATTACTAAGATACATAACCAACAAACTTGCTTAAGTAACTTTCCTTGCAAAAACATTGAATAATAAGAGTTACATAGAAAATATTTCCAGACCAATATAATATTCATTCATATCATCACGTTCATGAATAGTTACACATATTATGTTTTGTATTATTTTTATCTTAAAAACAGAAATTTTATTATTTCTTTTCACAAATTGAGACTATAAGAGATAATAATCTCGATTTTGTTAACACTTAGATAGATATTTTATTCACACATGTCATAATAAGTGCCATGATGAGGGTCATCAATCATTTTAGGACTAATAACTTCGCTATCTTCTGCATTATCTTTCCTTAGTATGTAATTGTGCATGTGTATATTGGTTTTAAAATTATATTTATTATATAGTTGATACCTAAATTATGTAGACAGAGTGTCTCCATACAAATGTTTTGATAATCGAGGGAGTGACGGATAGTAGTTGCTACGTTTGGCAGGCGGATTGGAAACCCCAGTTAGGCTTTGGTGGTGTTTTAAGAGGGATAATGTACATTCATTACTCTATATATGGGAGAAATTATATGGTTATGAAAAATAAAAAAGATACAAAATTATTTTCTTTTCTTTCTCACTCTCCCCCTCCAACTATATAATCTAAGAGTTGCTATTAAGAGCAGCCCATTAAAATTCCACTACTGGACATAAATCTCTTCTTTAGAGGAAAATTTGGTCTACCCTTACCACCCTGGTCAGATATTAAGTATACGTTTCGCTCCTTTTATTGCCTTTTCCGATATTTAAGAAAGGCAAACGTATTTGCACGTTGTATTTTTTATTCCATCAATACAAGGAGAATTTATAGAACTAACAAGTATCTACATAAGAAAGTATACATCTACATACACACATATCCGTCACGCCTGTCTCCCACTGGAGTAGGCAGAAACAATGGAATGCCAAATGGAACTCCGATTATCTGACATCTGTCAGTATATTTTATTATTTTTGTGTGTGAATGTAATTGGAATGTATTGAAAATAAAACCGTGACATGGCATTTATAACATCTACAGAATATTGTATGGCCTGATTAATATGAAATATTTTCTTATACATATAATATCAAGCGTGAACTTATTTTATTCATCATTCTCACAAACCGATATAATACAATGTTATTTTTTTAATAAGATGAACATAAAATGCTTAAACCATAAATTGTTTCCATAAAATAGTATTACCAATAGTTGATCAGCCAATCTGGAGAAAGCCAGGCTTGTCATGATAACAGTGTCTGATAATAAACTTGCTTGTAATACACTCGATAAAATTTAATTTTTATTGAATCTAGTAGAATCTGCAAAAAATTCGACCGATAAATATTCGCCCATTTTTTAATTAACACGAATCATTTAACTTAATTAATGAACGTCGCTCTTTTTAATATTTTCTCGATGGATAATACTCTAAAAGAAATGTCATTGGCGATTGAAATTATTAATTGATTTTTTGTGCAAAAATAATTCAATATTACTTAAAATAAAATAAAAAAAGCTTTAGAGTTTTAAAGGCGATAAACTTTTCAGTTAGGATAGTCACAGAAATTAACAGTTGAATATTGCAGTAATGGCAAAATTATCACCATAGTTAATGACATTTGCCCATGTTTCATTGTGTAAGTAAATAGATACATTTAAATATTATAAATCGAGTCTAGTAGTCTAGTATTATCTTATTTAATTTTCTTATAATATTTACCTAGATTCTATATTTATGTACCTAGGTCATACACATTATACACTATTACACAAAATTTGGATTCTATACCAAAAACCTATTTGTACCTATAAAGGATAATTATCCATATATTGCAACATTATATATTAGCAATTGTTAATGCCATCGATTTGTAATTTGAAGTAGATTTTGACATTTTTAGCCCATATATATATAGCAATGAATATAAATATTTTTAGGACTCAAAAATAGCACTAAAAATTTTAGATTTAAGCTTATTTAACTAGCTCAAGTTATCACATGAAGGGACTTTGTAAGATTTAAAATATTTTTTTATTTATGTTTATGCTGCGTAATTTTTAACTTATGACAGAAAATGTGACAATAAATATCATTCCCCTTTATCTTCGAAGTTTGTAAAGTGAAAAGTCTGAAATACGAAATTATATTTTATAAAGATATATGTGAATACTACAGGAAAAATAGAATATTATTTCTAATTATTACACTTTTTCAAAATTAATAAAAGAGCTTCGAAAGACTAGAAAAAAAGAAGACTAGATTTGTGGTCGGGTTTTTAGCCACAGGTATGGACTTAAATAAGAAATTGCTAATTGAAATAACAATAATAATTTTTAATAGGTTATTCTATACAAAAATACAATATGGTAATTCTTTTCTAGTAATAATCTCAAGACATAATTCAAATAAATTATTGCATAAAGAAAATAAAAACTTATTTATATTTTATGTAAGACACTCGTCGAGTTTTTAAAAATATATACACTATACCGAAATCTAAACACCAAAAATTAAATTGAAAATATTATTAACTTTTAAGCTGTCCAACAGCAGTAAGGGAAGAAATAACTTTTCACCAACTTGTTAACAGCTTGAAATTATCGAAATGTCAAACTCAAGTCTAGTGCAGGACTAAGTTCTGGCTTCTGAACTGACACCACTAAGTTAAACAAAGCCATGTATCTGTCTTAACTGATCATGACAATTAATGGCAAAATATCAAATGTTCTCACTGTAAGATAGTATTTATATACAAAACACCAACTAGATAATCAATCTTCCAAAAGAGTTCAAATCTTTTATTACACGAATTATTAAAAGATATCGTTTCAAGATTTGAAGGGATAAATAAATATTCTTAGGAAGCTTTTTTCTTGAAATGACATTGTATACAATAAACAAAGTTTTTTTTTATATATTAATTGACTATATAATATATCTATTAATCTTCACACAAATTGCCTTAAGGAAAAAGCAAGGAGAACCGAGTGCCCAATGGTAACATGATAATTAATCATATAAAAATAGAACTATATGATATTATTGCACATTTTACTTTTTGATTTCATTGTATTTTATATCTCTTAAGTTACTCATAGATATAAGTAAGTATATAGATTAGCCGTGTGGTTTTGGAATAGAATTGACCTCCCCTTTCTTTCCCGTAGGTGTCGTAAGAGGCGACTAAAGAAGGATGAAGGATGGTCAGTAGCGTCCCTTTTAAAATATTTCCAATTTTACTGCGGTTGCCAATCTGCCTGACAAGTATGGTAACTACCGGCAAAACCTCCCGAGAGCTGATATGACAATATATATAGATTACAGATTATGATTTTTGTAATTATCGGAAAATAATAACAAATTCTTAATTTGAAAATTCAACTTACAATAATCTTTGTTAGGAAATTACACAAAGCATTATTTAGAATGGGTAGGTACTTCGTGCTCACGATAGACATTCAAACAATTGGAATCAGTACCACCATTTGTACAAACAAAGTGTGTTAAGTAAGAGAAATGTCGCAGTTTTCGTAGCAAAGCAATTCTAAATTCAATTAGTAATGTTTCCACTTCGTCGACTCGTGAAATTTTGTTTTAGTCTTAACAATTCGGTAATGGCAACAATAAATTTTCAGTCAGTTGGACACTTTTGCGTGACGATTTGGCTATTTGGACTAATCAAAGAACATAATGTCTTATCTTTTTATTTATTTTTTTAAATCCTTTCATCACAGTAGTTTTCTATAATATTTTGGTTTTTCACATAGTAGAGTACTAGTAGTAGTAGGAAAATATAAATATATGTTATATATTCCTAAAAAACTCATATTATCGATATTTTAAAGAATCTTTATGTTTTTAATTACGTTATTCTGTTTTTGTGTGAAGAAGGAAACATAGATATAAACATAGGAGAAAAATGATAATTATTTACATTCATCGAGAATTTGAGAGAAAACAATTAGCTACGCTTCTCCGTGCTTTACATTTAATGTTAATTTGTAGTTAAGTTTTCCAAGTTATTAGAAAAATTGTGTGGAGTAGTAAAGTAAAAGTAGCAGAGTAAAAATCGGGTGAAGAATACTGGAGACCGCTAGAGATATCGCGGATTTAAATATGTATAGATAGTATCAATAAATGTTTTTCTTTAATTTTTTTTGGTAAAAGTACACCCACATTCACATCTGAAATAGTATATAAAGAGTTAATGCATTTATTTGAGTTATGGTAACTTCTAAACACTTGATATTTATGCTATAGAAACAGCTAGAATATATGTTATTAGTAAATAGCTGTTCTAGAAGTAATTGTAAATGGTACTATATATCATCTTTATTACATAAAATTTTAAT